AGCCTTTGCCAGTGTCTGCATTTGTTGGGCTATGTGTTGGGCATAATAGACAGTGACAAGTTAATTCCTGCAAATCCCAGTTTGTGTATAACCTTGCAGATCTGTACAAAAACTAGACTGGTACATGTATAGTTTGTAATGGGTTTACCCTCATTTGTTATTTTAATTCCTGTGCCCATGCAGTCGTAAATTTAATGGATTTATCCTCAGTTGTAGTATGGAATTGAGTCCTGCCGGTGCAGAGGTCAAGTCAATTGTCATGCAGCTCAGGCTGAGTGCTTGCATTTGTAGAATTACTAGATTTATGTTGAGTTGTGTTTTGGAGCTGACCCCTGGCAGTGCATTGACCATATACATATAGGTCACACAGAGCCAGTTCACATTGTTAACATGCCATGGATTTACTAAATTCACTAAATAGAAATCTCTGACTCAGTAATATAAACCTTCTTAAAGGAGCAGTGATCACTGCACTGCATCATTTTGAATATAAGATCCAAAGCATAGTACATCATGCATGTAGAGTACATCGTTTGTTTACATAAAATTTAAACATTCACTGCATGATAAGGGCTGCCCTTTATGCTAGAGATATTTTTTTTCAAAAACTACTTAAAACGAATTTGGATTAGGGAGGATTATGTTTAATTATGTCATATGTAAACTTGTGGTGGAATACAGTCATGCAGATGAAGAGCGTGGAATGCATGGTTTTGTAACCTCAGACATGATCACATTTCATTCTAGGTCAGGGTGACCTACATGTATTGTTCTTCGAGAAGGCCTCATTAAGTGCTCTATTTTGTCTTAATCTCCATGCATAATGCCAGGGCATTAAAAAAGCTATATGAATAGACGGAGTCAGCACCCATATACAATTAAAAATGCTTGCGTTCTATATGAACAAAGATGGCGACTTTGGTTGTTATGCAGAACAAATAGTAAAATACAAAGGTTTGACTAGATAATTCTAGATGATTTTATTGCTGGGAGAAATATTTCAGTGAGTCAGTCAGAATTCAGTGCACATTGCATCCATATCAAAATATGCATTTGCCACTGAAAATGTGTATTGAATTGTGGGAAAATCAGTGTTTTATCAACTCAAATCTTGAAAATATGGAGAGTGTCAACTCCCACCCTATAAATAATACCAGCAATCTCTTGTACTCAAAACTAGAATTTCAAAGTCGGTGACTTTCATGAAGTGAACAACTTGTATCAAAATATCAAACTGAAGTATTCCAATTTTGCTATTATGACATTCCTGGCAGTCATACATTTTAATACATAGTGAAAATCATCTTGCTTTCTGTGGGAGTGAAATTACCAATACAATGAATTTAAATATTTCTTGGATGTTGTGAATACAAAGTCTAACCAAAACAGTTCTATAATGTAGATGCATGTGCTACAGAGTACTACAGTTATTCATACCCGGTAGTTGATATGTAAATGCTACATCAAATCATCATGCAAACAGCTGTCCACCTACATCATGTAGCAAAGGTTGATGACAGTTCACTAAGTTGTCTGGGTTACGATATTTTATAGATGCTTTCATTATGCCTGACTATTGAATTATTAATAGATTTGGATTATTTTTTTTTCATTTGCACTTCATATAATTATTTATTTCTATATTCTGCTTTTAGTTTCTTCTCATCAATATATTTCACAGATTTGAAGGACTTAAAAATTGCATTTTGAACAACAATCTTAAGGTTATAGATCTCGTTATTTGGAAGGAGAAGGTTACAGTTGTCTTGGGGTGATTTCGCTGTAGATTATTTTTCTCTGATTATATTTATTGCATATTAATGATTTAACAATTATCTAGGCAAGGCCATGTAAAAGGTACACTAGGCTGGCATGATGAGGATTAAATGTACAAAGTTGCTGCCTTTTGCACCATTGGTCCAACATATATGTATATAGGCGTGCATCCCTGACAGTGTCTGTCACTTTCTTGTTATATTTATAACTGACAATAAGCTGCAACTTTCTATTTATACATTGTGTCCAGATGTCTGCAAAACGGCGCTACCACGTTTGCACGATGTTGGGCATGCACTTATGTAAATGATCGAGGAGCGTTTTTGGTCAAAATAATTCATTTTTTTAATAATCTGTGTACAATAAATACAAGTTTTGGTTTGTGTTCTTTTAAGGGAGTAAATTTGATAACTGCTTACTAAAAAGTGTACGACTCAATTCAGATGTATATCATACATGCATATGATAGGGACAGACATAAATCTGAAAATGTGTAAATCACATTTATACATATTTTTGTCTTAAACATTGATTTATAATCATTATGGCTTTAATATCTTGAGAGATAAATTATGTTGCAGTGATGAATTCACTTGTCATTATTTATTGGACTGGGTGTCTGTATTACTTCAAGTGATTTTTGTTTTTATTTACTGGCTATCCTTAAAATATGAAAAATACTGGTGTTACTGTATATTTACACCAATGATAACAAAAATTCGGCATTTCTATTTTAATAATCTTCTGACACAGGATTCCTAAACTAGGTCAGGCCGGGATTGAGCTTATAAATTTATACATATTGAATGTTTGTAAAGAACCATCTGTTGTGCTTAGAATTCAGTTACATACCATAAAGATTTGGGAACTCAAGTAATTTTTATTTGTTGTGTTGTGAAACAGCTGTGAAAATTACAGTGACCTAGCAGTGCAAGTGTGCCTTGTATACCAAATTTGACTTAGCGCCCAGGGTACCTGGCTCCAAAAATTGTGTTTTAGGGAGGGTGAGTGATTAGCCGAGCACCCCTACTTCGAAAAATTATGTAAATGACAATTTTGTTCACCATCCCTATCAGCCGGATTGAGAGGTATGTTAAGTCGCTTTGTGGAAAATAAAATTGCGAAATTAGTTGTGTTGTCATCGATTTCCAAAACACTGTTACAGTGAAGAAACAAAAATCGTCACAAAAAATATGCACGTTTTATAACTGTAACAATATTAATTACGTACCACCAAAAAATCACTATCACAGAATTATTAGTGGGAACACAGTCAAAAGTGAATATCTTTAGGGACGACGTCAAAAGATTGATGTCGGATAAAAAACTTATTTCCTTTAGTTTGGGGGTGGGGTGGGGTTTGACCTCAAAAAGTTTTCATCCTACAAAAACAATTTTATTTTTTATTGAAGTAAAAAAAATCTTGGGAGTATTTGTAGTTTTTTTTTTTCTATCCAATCATGGACAGAAATAACCGAAAAAGGAAAAAAACAGAAAAATGGTTTGGTTCGAGTGTAAATCTGTGCGTCAAATGAGGTGCATTTGTAAAATCCTTTTACACCCACCCGACAACCAACTGCTATGCAATACTACTGTCCGATTATCAATTTGTATTTAATGGTGAATGTAGTCTGACGCCATGACCAATATTCATTAATTAAGTTTCAGTGGGGGTAGGGGGGTTTGGAAAAAAACTAAAGGACTTAAGTTTTTTATCAGACATCGATCTGTTGACATCGTCCCTTATCATTATCATCATTGTTTAATGTGTTGTATGTGAACTCTATGCAAAGCATTGTGTGGAAAATGTCATATGAACAATTTTTGATATGACTTGTATTAATGAGATTAATATTTAACTTTATTTTTCTGGAGATATTATACAATATTCTTGGTTCAAATTTGCTTTGGGGAAATACAAGTCCTGAATGAATATTGCACCAAAAATATTCATTTGACAGCAGAAGCAGA